TACATTGTTTAGTTGGTTGGAAATAAATTACTAAGAACATTGATTCCATTGTTTGATTGTGCTTGAAATTGTAGGGAATATTGAGTATACAGATAATTATACCCCTATAAAATAATTTTTTTTTTAAAAAACAACAACAATAATAATAATAATGGTAATTAAGTAAAATTTGTGAGGACATAATCATCCTACTTGTTTTTCATAAAAAATATTTTTCATAAAAAAAAAAAACAAAATAGGGTCCATGGAAAATATTTTTATCATTCTTGAAGAAAAAATTAACCAAATAAAGCAAAAAATTATTTTTTCTTAAATTAATATAAAACATTTCTCAACGAACTAAATATGTCCTTATAAGTAATTATTTCTAAATCCACAAAATGAAAAATACAACTTTTACCTTTTCACAAATTTTGAACATAAACAACTTTTTATAAACATACAAAATAAAAATGTATTCATACTCACCACATCATAAAATATAATTAAAGTAAAATTTAGTAGTCGGCATAGACATTTCATCATATGGATAAAGTTTGGGAAGAGAGTAAAATTTGGTAACCATCGTAAATAAATGAGTAAATATTTAAAATGGTCCCTCGACTATAGCTAAATTCACAAATTGATCATTGACTTTCAATTTCAACCAATTAAGTCCTTAACTTTGTAATTTTGACACGATTTGGTCTTCCATTTATTTGATCGTGATCGACGATCTCCAGAAGAACATTCAACTCTCGTTGGAGCACGTGGAGGCCTCCAGGATGACGTTGCACTGGTTCGGAAACACGTCGTCTTCTTCGCTCTGGTACGAACTCAACTACATTGAATCCAAAGAGAGGATGAAGAAAGGCAACCGGATTTGGTAGATTGCTTTCGGCAGTGGACTTAAATGTAACAGTGCAGCCTGGAAATGCAACTAGAACCTTAAAAAACCGACGATGGACCATGAAATTACATATATATCCTCAAAAATCACAGTCAACAAACGGTCAAATAGACAAAGGACCAAATTGTGTTAAAATTACAAAGTTAATGACTTAATTGGTTGAAATTAAAAGTTAAGGATCAATTTGTGAATTTAGCTATAGTCGATGGACCATTTTGGGTATTTACTCAAAATAAATTAACAGCTGCCTTTCACGTGGCATTAAAAGAACGCCGTTTGGTGAAGCAGAGTTCTAGAGAGATCTCTGGAATAGAATCATCTTCGTCGTCTTCTTCACCATCACTACGCTACCGACATTTTCTCAACCATGGCCGTGGAGCTCTGTGTCAAGGCTGCTACTGGCGCCCCTGATGATCTTGGAGACTGTAATCTCTCCTTCCCCACCCGTTTCTCTTCGTTTTCGAGATTTATCTAATTTATCCTCTCTGGCTTCCTTTCCTTCTCTAAAACTCCGATGCTTTTTGTTCATTTAGGCCCATTTAGCCAGCGGGTAACACTGACCCTGGAGGAAAAGAATGTCCCTTACAAGATTCATCTTATCAACACCAGCGACAAGCCTGAATGGTAACTCTCCTCGCAATTTCCATTTGTTGCGTAGAGTTACTTTTTACACTTTGATTGTATGTTGTTGGGTAGAGATGTGATGTTGAGCTATTGGATTTCAGGTTCCTGACGGCAAATCCTGAGGGGAAGGTTCCGGTGATCAAATTCGATGACAAATGGATTGCTGATTCTGATGTGATTGTTGGGATCATTGAAGAGAAATACCCAAACCCTTCTCTCTCAGCTCCCCCTGAAGTTGCCTCTGTGTAATTGTCCTCTTTACTTTCTCTTTCCATTTGAGGCATAGACAAATTGTTTATATTGCTATATGCATTTCCTGTAAGGTGCATAAACTCAGAATGTGTTATTAGTTTCATTTTAGCCTTCTCGCAATTCCCTGCAACCGGGCTGTTCTCTTTGTTCCAATGACTAAAATAGAACTAATAACACATTCTGAGTGGTTCTTTTTTTGGTTAGACCATGAGGTGTCCTGAACAGGCCCTAAGTGTAGGAGACACCTTCCTTTAAGCCCGTACCATACTCAGACTAATCTTCATTCGCACCGGGCCAGCCCAATTAAGGGGCAAAGTGCTGGCCAGATTGGTTTTCATACGAGAGGAGTTGAACTCCCGACCTCTCTTAAGGGATGAGAGTGCACAATCACTCACGCCAACCAAGCTGGTTATTCTGAGTGGTTCTGAGTGTCTCAAATTTAACTCTTCCTCAATAATGGAATAATAGTGAACAAGTTAAGGTTGAATGGTTGATAAACTTTTGGGTAATAACTCGTTGAAGAACTTAATGGAGTGAGTATCAAATGTTCAAGGCTAGATGGTGGCTTCATAGTTCCTACCTTCATTTTTCACTTCATAATAGCTATTAAGTAATATATGATTATACGTAATAGTGAGTTGCATACTGGTTTTCTCCGTTCTACTTTGTATTTGACTTTGACATCTACAGATTTTATTAATACGGTTCTATGAATTGGCAGTGGCTCTGAGATATTTCCCTCTTTCGTTAAGTTTCTGACGAGCAAGGACTCCAGTGATGGTACCGAGCAAGCTCTGGTTGAGGAACTCAAGGCATTGGATGAACATCTCAAGGCTCATGTATGAATTTTTCGTATGCAGTCATTGCAATACTAGAATTAAGCACTACATGCCTACCTCAAATATCTAATGGATGAAAATTTAATTTCGATTCATGTTTAGGGACCATTTGTCAATGGGGAGAATATCTGTTCTGTTGATCTGAGTTTGGCACCGAAGCTGTATCACCTTGTGGTGGTACTTGGTCATTACAAGAAATGGAGTGTCCCGGAGAACTTGACTCACGTGCATAATTACTTGAAGGTATGTGACTATCTCATCTCAACGCCAGCCTATGTCTGTCGACTGTTCACGCTTCACACTGTTGCGTAATTTACTTTTGGACATAAAAGTGTTCAATGACTTGTTCAATTGTGAGCATATAGAAGTTTGGGAATGCAGATGTAGCTTTGTTAGGTAACAATTTTCGAACGTTTTAGTGGTATGAAGCCAAATGCACTGTAGGAATAGTTGGAACTTTCTGTTCATATCGGCTGCTAATTTGATCAGGTCTTATTATTCTGCATCAAAATTTTACAAAATAATTGGCATTCAAAGTAGTATTTCATAATTCTATTTTTGTTTCATGACTTTTAACGACTGTTTAGTGATTTCATATTGATTGGCTTTTAGATTTGAGCTTTAGCGAGTGTACTATAGGATTCACAAAAGAATACTTGGCAATTGGCATACATACTACTGATTTATTTTTCTGTGTTCTTTAAATCTGTATATACTTTTTCCATCTATCTATATATACATTATTTGCAGATCGTGAATTCTGTTTGATTGATATATATAATACACCGAAACTTAGAAGAAAATGGAAGTTAGGGTTTGATTCTCACTGATCATTATCTTGCAGTTGCTCTTTGCTCGGGAGTCTTTCCAGAAGACGAAGCCTCCAAAAGAAGAGTATGTCATTGCAGGGTGGGCTTCAAAGGTTAATGCATGAATCAATCCCAAACTGTAGAAGCTGAAGATGCATTATTTTCATGTTTAATGAACTCTAGACAAGACTGTAAGCTCTTTGTCAGATAAAAATAGTTATGCAGGATGATATATGGACCAATGGTCTTATGATATGGCATACTTAATAAAATGGCTATTGGTATGGTGTTTCTTTTTGTTGAACCTTGCATTTTGGTCCCTATCTGTATGAGGCTTAACAATTAGCAAACAATGAGATTAAAAGTGGTAATGTAGTACTATAACATAGAGACTAAATGTACTATATATTATTCTATGGTTCAGGAACTAAAAGTGCAATTGGCTATTGGTATGACATTTATTTTTCATGAGTCTTCGTTTTGTTGACAACTTAAGGATTAAAAGTGACAGGACGGATCTAGAAAGTCATCTTAATGGTGTCGAAGATTGAATGACATTAAAAATGTCAATGACAAAATATCAAACAATCATAATAAGATTAAAATACAAAATACATTATAAATTACAATAGAATGTATTACATAGTAATGGTTGGAGTAAAAAATATACGGGTGAAAGTGTAAAATTATTTATGACAAAATATTAAACATAATTAATTACATCAAATAATTTGAATAAGACTATATCCATAGATATTTTTTAAATTTTAATTTCTTTTAGTTAAATCGGTTTTTCTAAATTAATTCAAATACAATAAAATATACGGAGTAATATAAAGTTGTATATTACATTAATTAAATGGATTTAAATGAATTATAAGAAGTGACTAAAAGTTTTTTATTTTATCAACTGGTGCTAATAAGATTTGAACTTAGGACATATGCCTTTAAAATCAAGTTTGAAATTTAACCAACTAAGCTACATAAACTACTTATATTTTTAATATAAATATAAATTTTATATAACATTTAATGCTATATATGTCTATATATACATACATATATATATATATAAAGGGGTGAGGTGGGAGAGGTGGTAGCTGCCCCCACAGTGGCTCAGCCCTGAAAGTGATAATGTATATGATACAGGAACTAAACTTGTAATTACACCATAACTCAGGACTAAAAACTGCAGTTTCGCATTAATCTTATGATGGTTTGGCCAGTGATTTCATCATCAGTGTGGCTACTTCAGCATAGGTATGATCTACTATTGTTCCAAAACTTGAAAAGTTTAAGATTCTGATGAAGCATAAGGTAGTCCCCAGGCTTTTAACATTTCTCTTTTTACTGGAAAACAACTATTCATATATGAGGGTCAATCCCAGGCAAGTTGATCATTGACTTCGTAACCTTTTCGGTTTGAGCTGTCAGTTATGGGCAATCTAGGGTTTACCCAGTGCACATGTTGAATAATGGTTGAGGGTTTTCCTCTATCACTCCAAAAAAAAAAAAAAAAAAAAAAAAAAAAAAAAAAAAAAAACTACTCATATATGACATTACACCTTGTACAACCATGCAAGGAAATAACAAAACAAAACCATATAATATAATATTGGACAACAAAGAATATTAATAAAACTATGAAAATTCATTATTTGGACAACAAAGATACCAATATGCTATGAAATTCCAGGCATGTATAGATGTTTGTGTGCAGAAACAGCAAGCCTGCCTCCACTAGGACCACTAGTTCACAAGTTTCAGTCATTAATCCCCACCGGTTTGTTACTGAGGAAGAAAACAGTGGGGATCGATTCTGCTTACCTTGGAACGTGGCAAACATTGCTTGGTGATGAATTTGTCTGCACCGCAGAAGATGATCTAGTACTGGACCACATAATAGGTAGTACGTTCATACCTGTTATGATCCAGAGAATACGGGGCAGAGTAACGCTAAATGCCTTGGCAACTTGGCAAGTGTATTACCAAACTGCAGGCCATATGAAGATGAAGCACAGATCATTTTCAGATGGCCTATGAATCGCTTGTCCTCTCTCTAACCATTTTCTGAATCATTGCGGTTGCCTCAGCCTCTGGCGTTTCATCTTCTGTTCTCCAGTGCTTCTGCAAAATATCTGAATATAAAGTCGCAAACACCAAAACAGTCACAGTAACATAATGACTGTTCTTGAGTGCTTCTGCAAAATATATGAATATAAAGTGGCAAACACCAAAACAGTCACAGTAACATAATGTCCATAGAGAAGTAGGAATATTGATTAACTATCATTTGGAAATGATTCATGTGTCAGTTACCATGTGTATGTATATCTATGATGTAGATGAATTCCCAGTGATAATACTGAAGTGCAAACACAAGCACAAGAAAAAAATTATCACGTGATAATGATAAAGTGCAAGGAATATTACTATATTAGCGTAAAAATGAAAAGGATTGGTGATGTGAGGCTAAGAGTCCCATGTGAGAGATAGATAATAAATGGTGGAGAGATATTACAGGAGATTGTGAAAAACACATAATTTGGAAGTCTAACAAATTATTTGGAAGTCTTGATCGACAGCAAGCATACAATCCTCCTGTCTGTGGTGAAGGCCTCTCTTCCTTAGAGTTTAAATGGGAACTGAGCACTGCAATAGCATCCTTTGGACATTGAACCCAATCTTTGAAAATAAAATAAAATAAAAAAATAAAAATAATAATCCACAAAGATACAAGATTATGTAATGTTTTATTAGCTGGATTACCTCAACAGTGCAATGCATCCCTCAAAGTAACACCAAATTCATTAGTGTTGCTTTACAAGTTAGATTTTATTCTCACTCCCTCCAAAAGTTCTAGGATCTTACCTCTTCTACTTCTTCAGGCATTTTCCCCTCTCTCTAGAGACATCGATTGCTGATTGTTAACAAATCAGTAATCACATGGTCCACAACAGATCACGATATGTAATGAACCTTTGGGACCATTTACAAATTCACCGTCGATGTGCCAAATATGTCATTGTAATCTTGAGACAACAGCTGATCGCCCCACTTATGGACGAACTGTAAAATTAGAACAGATTGAAGAAGAAAAACAATGATGCCAAAATAAGAATCATTCTTACTTTGCAGTAACGAATAAAAGGGCATTAAATTTTTTTTTTTTAAAAAATAGAAGACTGACAACCCTTCATTATCACAGTATGACAACTTTTCCTTGTATTTTATTAATTTTGATATTAGGAACAAAGCTTATATTTTTTTGAGGGCAAAAAGAAACAGTATGACAACCCTTCATTATCACAGTATGACAACTTTTCCTTGTATTTTATTAATTTTGATATTAGGAACAAAGCTTATATTTTTTGTGGGCAAAACAGACAATCAATTAGACAAATTTTTGTTCATTGTTATCTTTTGCTAAAAGATGAGAGAATATGACTACTACATTGCATGGTAATAGACTTGATCAAAAAACTTAGCACTGCGTAATTTACTTTTGGACATAAAAGAGTTCAATGACTTGTTCAATTGTGAGCATATAGAAGTTTGGGAATGCAGATGTAGTTTTGTTAGGTAACAGTTTTCGAACGTTTTAGTGGTATGAAGCAAAATGCACTGTAGGAATAGTTGGAACTTTCTGTTCATATCGGCTGCTAATTTGATCAGGTCTTATTATTCTGCATCAAAATTTTACAAAATAATTCGCATTCATAGTATTTCATAATTCTATTTTTGTTTCATGACTTTTAACGACTGTTTAGTGATTTCATATTGATTGGCTTTTAGATTTGAGCTTTAGCGAGTGTACTATATGATTCTTCAAAGAATACTTGGCATACATACTGCTGATTTATTTTTCTGTGTTCTTTAAATCTGTATATACTTTTTCCATCTATCTATATATACATTATTTGCAGATCGTGAATTCTGTTTGATATATATAATACACCAAAACTTAGAAGAAAATGGAAGTTAGGGTTTGATTCTCACCGATCATTATCCTGCAGTTGCTCTTTGCTCGGGAGTCTTTCCAGAAGACGAAGCCTCCAAAAGAAGAGCATGTCCTTGCAGGGTGGGCTACAAAGGTTAATGCATGAATCAATCCCAAACTGTAGAGCTGAAGATGCATTATTTTCAAGTTTAATGAACTCTAGACAAGACTGTAAGCTCTTTGTCAGATAAAATAGTTATGCAGGATGATATATGGACCAATGGTCTTATTATATGGCATACTTAATAAAATGGCTATTGGTATGGTGTTTCTTTTTGTTGAACCTTGAATTTTTGGTCCCTATCTGTATGAGGCTTCACAAACAATGAGATTAAAAGTGGTGATGACTATAACATAGAGACTAAATTTACTATTATTCTATGGTTCAGGAACTAAAAGTGCTTCTTATATCGATTGGATATTGGTATGACATTTCTTTTTCATGAGTCTTCATTTTGTTGACAACTTAAGGATTAAAAGTGATAGTGTATATGATACAGGAACTAAATTTGTAATTACACTATAACTCAGGACTAAAAAGTGTAGTTCCGCCTTAATCTTATGATGGTTTGGCCAATGATTTCATCATTACTCATTAGTGTGGCCACTTCAGCATAGGTATGATCTGCTATTGTTCCAAAACTTGAAAAGTTTAAGATTCTGATGAAGCATAAGGTAGTCTCCAGGCTTTTAACATTTCTCTTTTTACTGGAAAACAACTATTCATATATGAGGGGCAATTCCAGCCAAGTTGATCATTGACTTTGTAACTACAAGGTTACAAGTTCCACTCTCAATAGAAGTGGTCTATTGACCTTTTCGGTTTGAACTGTCAGTTATGGGTAATCTAGGGTTTACCCAGTGCACAGGTTGGATAATGGTTGAGCGTTTATCACTCCAAAAAAAAAAAAAAAAACTACTCATATATGACATTACACCTTGTACAACCATATAAGGAAATAACAAAACAAAACCATATATATTGGACAACATAGGCATTCAAAAAAAAAAAATATTGGACAACATAGAATATTAATATACTATGAAAATCATTATTTGGACAACGAAGAATACCAATATGCTATGAAATTCCAGGCATGTATAGATGTTTGTGTGCAGAAACAGCAAGCCTGCCTCCGCTAGGACCACTAGTTCACAAGTTTCAGTCATTCATCTCCACCGGTTTGTTACTGAGGAAGAAAGCAGTGGGGATCGATTCTGCTTACCTTGGGATGTGGCAAACATGGCTTGGTGATGAATTTGTCTGCACAGCAGAAGACAATCTAGTACTGGACCACATAATAGGTAGTACATTCGTACCTGTTATGATGCAGAGAATACGGGTCAGAGTAAGGCTAAATGCCTTGGCAACTTGGCAAGTGTATTACCAAACTGCAGGCCATATGAAGATGAAGCACAGATCATTTTCAGATGGCCTATGAATCGCTTGTCCTCTCTCTTACCATTTTCTGAATCATTGCGGTTGCCTCAGCCTCTGGCGTTTCATCTTCTGTTCTCGAGTGTTTCTGCAAAATATATGAATATAAAGTTGCAAACACCAAAACAGTCACAGTAACATAATGTCCATAGAGAAGTAGGAATATTGGTTAACATTAATTTGGAAATGATTCATGTGTCAGTTACCATGTGTATGTATGTATGATGTAGATGAATTCCTTGTGATAATACTGAAGTGCAAACACAAGCACAAGAAAAAAAAATAAAAATAAAAATCACATGATTATGTGCGAGGAATATTACTATATTAGCGTAAAAATGAAAAGGATTGGTGATGTGAGGCTAAGAGTCCCATGTGAGATAGATAATAAATGGTGGAGAGATATTACAGGAGATTGTGGAAATATACATAATTTGGAAGTTCTTAACAAATTATTTGGAATTTCTGACCATTTGTCTTGATCGACAGCAAGCATACAATCCTCCTGTCTGTGGTAAAGGCCTCCCTTAGAGTTTAAATGGTAACTGAGCACTGCAAATAGCATCTTTTGGACATGGAACCCAATGTTTGAAAATAAAACAAATAATAGTAATAATCCACAAAGATACAAGATTATGTAATGTTATTAGCTGCATTACCCTCAACAGTGCAATGCATCCCTCAAAGTAACATCAAATTCATCAGTGTTGCTTTACAAGTTTGATTTTATTCTCACTCCCTCCAAAAGTTCTAGGATCTTACCTCTTCTACTTCTTCAGGCCTTTTCCCCTCTCTCTTGAGACATCGATAGCTGAATTGTTAACAAATCAGTAATCACATTGGTCCAAAACAGATCACGATATGTAATGAACCTTTGGGACCATTTACAAATGTTCACTGTCGAATGTCGATGTGCCAAATATGTCATTGTAATCTTGAGACAACAGCCGATTGCCCCACTTATGGACAAACTGTAAAATTATAACAGATTGAAAAAGGAAAACAATGATGCCAAAATAAGAATCATTCTTACTTTGCAGTAACGAATAAAAGGGCATTAAAATTATTTAAAAAAAAAAAAAAAAAAGACGAAGAAGAAGAAGAAGCTGTGTTGATGAATGTGCAAGGAAGCATGCTTGAAGTTTATGTACTTTAAGAATATGATATTATTAACATTGTACAAATATTTTCCCTTGGCAGTCTGCATATCAGAAAAGACAACCCTCCATTATCACAGTATGACAACTTTTCCTTGTATTTTACTAATTTTGATATTAGGAACAAAGCTTATATTTTTTGTGGGCAAAACAGACAATCAATTAGACAAATTTTTATTCATTGTTTTCTTTTGCTAAAAGATGAGAGAGAATATGACTACTACATTGGCTGGGACTTGATCAAACAACTTAGCACTGCAGAATACTAGCAAACAGATGAGAAACTGGTAATCCAACCATTTGAACCATTCAATATTACTCAAAAGAAAACAATACCAACCCTTATGTCTTGAGCTATATTTCATTGCCCAGTTTGAGAAATTTCATGGTTTTGTCTCCGTACCCTAAACATAGATGATAAAATATAGGTGTTCACACAGCTAGCTCAGTTGGTTCCTAAGTGATAGATTTTGGGCAAGGAAGGACACGGGATCGAGCCCGGGCAACTGCAATGTGAGAGTTACACCCAATGTGGTGGGCTCCTTGTAAAAGTCAAGCCAGACATTGATCTTCCCACCTAATGGACCACTGAGTCCCCTGTACTATCCTGTCGGGCGAGGTGTGGGGCAGGCGAGGGGATTTCACCTTTTGTGGGCGAGATGATAAAATATAGACGTTCATGAAATCACTACCATTTCTTTCTGAAATCATCACTCATAAACCTGAAAACAGAAAAGGGAAGGATATGTGACCCTTCCTTACTGCTTCCTCATTGTCAGTGGTAGAATAATTTTATAGGTTCAATGAAAATTTAAGATTTATCAGGGTTTCCAGTTTTATTAGATAGCACAAGCAATCAAAGCAGCATATGTTTCCATCTACCACTGATATACACACAACCGTATTCAAATGAGACAACAGAATTCTTCGAAGAAAAAATCTTACCTCTAGATTGAGAAAGGCCCTCAAATTCTTCACAATTCACCATAGCATTTGATCCTGCAACCAAAAAAAACCGTAAATATTTATGCATAAAATATACAGCTTTGAGTTTTCACTACATAAACGGCTTCCCAGCAGGTGCCATTTTCAGAAAAATTTAGCTGCAATTTTGAATTAGGTTGTTGACAAATGCTTCCAGGTAAAATACTGTAACTGCTTATATATAAATATCTAAGAATATGTAGCTACACTGTTTGGTTTATGTTATCAAATATGAGAGTGGTTGGTAAATAGCTATTAGATTATAGTGTTAATAACTTTAACTAGTTGATAATATTAGTTATGAAAAAATATTTGGTAAATTAGTTGTTAACTAATGATTAATTACATGCAAGATGATTTTTTAAAAAAAGTTGATAAAAAAAAAAATTACTTTGAGCAGCTTTTTAAATGGTAGATATTTATAATTTATAATAATAATAATAATAATAATAATAATAATAATAATATAAAACATTTTTATAAATTGGCAGAATGATCAAATAGCCTCATCTATTATAAACAATATTTTGTTCACTTAGCATTTTCTTCGAGTTTTCTCGAGTAATCCTTCCACAATGCTAACTAGGGATGTGCGTTTCGAACTCGAACCGAATCGACCGATCGATTCGGTTTGGTTTATAACTGAACCAAACCTTCCACAATGCTAACTAGGGCTGCCTGGCTGGGCATTTCGAATTCGAACTGAACTGACGGATCGATTCGGTTCGGTTTATAACTCAACAGAACCGAAAATCCTATCGTTTTTTTTTTCCTTTTAAGCAAGAGCCTTACCCATTAAGTTATAAGCACATTTGTGTCAACTCTTACATTCAATACATATTGAACTATATCTTCAATACTGGTAGGGAATATCCCGACCGACATAGCTTCACCACGACCGAGAAGTCTTTGTCTTTTTCTCTTTGTCTTTGCAGGTAACAGGTCGGGCTCCTTGAGAAGAACCCGGTCGGGGCCGACCGGGAGTTGCCCGAGCGACGGTGTCGACCGCCGAGCGGTAGCCCTTTGGCGAGAGAGCTGACGAAAGACACGTGGCGATTCTCTACGACGACAGACAGGGCACCCGGGAGGACGACACGTGGTGGCTACGTGGAGGACATGCCGAACGGCTGGAATCCTGTCCCCGGCATAGCGGCTATAAATACCCACAGTAGCTACAGTGTAGGGGACTTTTGGACGATCGATAGGTTGTTGTTAGAGAATCCCGACCGCAGTCAGTCGGTACTCAGAGCAACCAAGTAGATTGTACTTAGGGCCTTTACCGTGATCAATAAAGACATTTACTTGCTTTAATTGGTCTCGAGTTACTTCATATTGCTTACGTATAATTAGCAGTATCATTTTGGCGCCGTCCGTGGGGACCCGTGCAAGAAACCAACGTCTTGACGAGCACCCGATCTCTATATCGACATGTATCCGTGGGCACACAACAACTTTGCCGACGACCAGGCGGATGCGGCGAGCTCCTCTGACCACTATGCTACCCAACAGCAAGGTCAGACGATGGACCTCAACCTCAACCTCTCACCACCGCATCCATCGAATGCATACCCGGCCGCCCAGCAGCCGGTGAATTACATACAACCGACATCCGGGGGGGAGCTCCGGAGAAGAGGAAGAAGAAGGAACCTCGTCAGGCAGACGGGGTTCACCGACCGAAGGCGTTAGGGAAACGCCAACCCGGGTGGTTGGGGACCACCCGGAAGCCGTTGCTCGGGGTAGCGACCGGGAAAACAGCCCTGAGCAAGCCGAGGAAAACACGGCCGGGCCGGCCGCACCAGTAGAGTTCGAATTCTTGAACAACGAGAATGTCAAACAGCAAATGAGCCGGCTGACCAAAGGCGAAGCGGCTAGGATTGCTGAAATGCTCAGGGGTCGGGTGGAATTTGACACGAGCCGAAAGCTAGGGAATGTGATCGATCGGCACCGGGGCAAGTGGATCGGGATGCATTACGACTCCCTGATGGCCCCGATCGCCATTCCTTTCCCGCCCCTCCTGACGGCCTTCTTGGCATACTACCGGGTCGTCCCGGCTCAGATCTGCCCCAACTCGCACCGGATCATCGCCTGCTTTCCCCAGATATGCGCTCGGCACGAGGCCGCTTGCACGATGGAGCTGTTCAACTTCATCTACCAAGTCAAAGTTCTCCCGGGCAGCTATGGAGGCGGGTTCCTAATGCTGCAGTCTCGAGCGGACATGTGCGCCATCAAAGGCCTGCCCGGGAACAACAAGGGATGGAAGAATAGGATCTTTTCCATCAAATATGATCCTTGGATTCTCCCAGTCGACCGCGCTTGGAGCACCCACTTCCGGAAACAAGTGGTGCCGGACGAGACACAAGCGCTCAAGGAGACGGTCGCTCGGATCGGTACGACCGCCATTCCTTTCGCTAGGTGGGGGGTGGACATCTTGGGTCCTTTCCCTCAGCTCTCTGGTCGGAGAAAGTTCGTAATTGTCGCCATCGATTACTTCTCCAAGTGGATAGAAGCCGAGCCCTTAGCCACGATCACCTCTCAGCAATGTGCTCGTTTTCTTTGGCGAAATGTGATTTCCCGCTTTGGTGTGCCCGTGCATCTCATCAGCGACAACGGCCGCCAATTCGTAAGCCAGTATTTCCAGAACTTTTTGGCCACGATCGGGACAACTCACATTCGGTCGTCGGTGGCTTACCCGCAGGGAAACGGTCAAGTAGAGAACGCGAACCGGACGATTTTGGAAGGTCTGAAAAAGAAGTTACACTCGGTCGGTCGTAGTTGGGCCGATGAGTTGCCATATGTCCTATGGACTTATCGGACGACCCCGAGGGAAGCTACTTTGGAGACCCCTTTCGCCCTGGTTTACGGAGCTGAAACCCGACTCCCGATCGAGGCTTGGATCCCGACCGATCGAGAAAGAACCTACAATGCCGAGAAGAATGAACATGCTATGGCGGTGGATCTCAATGGGGTCGAAGAAAAAAGAGAGCTAGCCGCTCGACGTATAGCCGAGTACCAGAAGCGTGTGAAGAGTTCGAAGGACGTTCGGGTCAACCCTCGTTATTTTCAAGTAGGAGATTATGTTCTGCGACGAAGGGATGCCAGTCAACCTTTGGAGGGCGGAAAGCTAGCTCAAAACTGGGAAGGGCCGTACATCATCAGCGCGATCATACGGCCGGGTACATACCGACTGGAGACGACAACTGGTCGGGTAATCGAGGGGACTTGGAATTCCGAGCACCTCGTTATATTTAGGCATTAAGCCTCCTTTTTGTAATCTTTGGACGAAGAGGGGGCTTGACCTGCGTGTAGGTCCCGGTCGTCGTTTGTAATTAAATTCCTATGTTTGTAAATATTTACTTAACCGCCTGCGAGCGGGAAGGATTAATGTATATACGATCGGTGATTGCTCGACCGTTTGCATACGGCGGCCCGATCGGTTATTTTCTATACCTTCAGTGCATGCAGATCAATTTATCTTCAAGCTACACCGACCGGGCGAATCTATCGACCGGTCAGATGCGCTCCACATCGGCGGACATTCGAGTCAGGAACTCTCAGCATAATTCCCCGATCCGTCCAACTTCTGTCCACTATCGCACCCACTCGTGCCTCGAGGGCACAATAGTGTGGGGGCTGGGATAAATGAAGTGTTGATAGGCCCATATCGCTCGGTATATCCTGACCGTGGGGCTTACTTCTTTGCTCGGTATATCCTGACCGTGGGGCTTACTTCTTTTCGGAAAATTCGTCAAGACCTGGAGACCGGGTAAACTTGGTCGGGTAGGTCAATATTATGACGAATCTACTTTCAAAAAATCGTCAAGGCCGGGAGATCGGGTAAACTCGGTCGGATTGGCCAATTTTACGACGAAACATCAGATGTGCGACCAAGCCATAAGGCCCTAAGGTCGGGCGTTAGCAGGGTCGAGTATTGCAAGACCGGGCCTGAAGGCCGGGCGGTCGAGCGATGGAGATCAGTGTGTGCTCGAAGACGAACGGGATAAGTTGGACAAAAAAATTAATTTTATTAATAAGCGAAAGCGCCCGGTACAAATTCGGGACCGGGCTCCCGATCAGTGTCCCTTTACAAAAAAAACAGAAGAAGCTTATCCCTACTTCTTCGCTTCCCGAGCTCCAGCAGCTTCCCGAGCTCCAACAGCTTCCTTCTCGCTCGCGGCGGCCGCAGAAGACCCGCCTTGCTCAGCTGTTTTCTCTTTGGGGCTGAAGGGAGAAGGACCAGGATCAGCCAAGTCCGGGGGCAGCGTCGAGAGAACCAGCTGAAGGTCCTCCCCCTCGAGAGCTTGCTCCATCCGGGTACGAGCCCGCTCGAGCATCTTCCGTTGCCCGGCCTTGAAGGCCCACCGCCCGAACGAGAGGATCAGATCCTCCCCGACCTTTGTCCCCCGGGCTGCTGTGAGGAAGGCTGAGCCCGAGTCGTTGTCTTTGAAGACCGCTTGCGCCAACTCGCTCGGGTTACCGAGCTGAGCCTTCAGCTGTTTGGCCTCCTCGATTGCCCGATGGGCAACCTTCTCCGCCAGGACCCGGTCCTCTTCGCTCTTTTTTAAGGCCTTTTGAGCCTTCTCGAGCTCGGCTTGGAGCTCTTTAACCTCCAGAAGGCGACGGGCGGCCGTCTTCTTATGGTGGTCGGCTTCCTCGGCCAGCATGGCCCGACCCTGTAATAATTGGGCCGCTCGGGAGATCTGCAAAGACAAAGACAGTCGGGGTTAGCCCGGTCGAAGACACTTGCACAAAAAGATGAATAGCTAAAGAAGGCTTACCTCGGCCAGATCGTAGCCGATCCTCTCGGCTACCTGGGTCGGGGTCATCTTCCCCAGGTCTTCTTTGGCTGGCCCGGCGTTGCCGATGCGGGCCAGCACGGACAGGTTGTCCTTGTTGCGCCCGGTCGAAGGACTCGGGCTGCGCTGCTCTCGGCGGCGCTTCATCCCGCCGACCTCAGTTACGGTCCGGGCGGGCACCTTCTCCTTACCTCGGGCGACTTTCACCCGGTTAACTAGGACATCAGGTGGCTCCACGACGAAGCCCTCGGCCGTCGTCACGGTCGAGGCGCTTAGCGATTGGGCCAAGGGGATCTCCTTTTCCCCCGCTGGCTTCGCCTTCGTTTTCTTCTTGCCGCCAAGGGAGATCTTCGCGGGCGGGGGAAGGGGGGCATCTTCATCACCGAACTCTGCCATGGCTGCAAATAAAAAAAAGTTAGATCGATCGGTATAAAGTTAAATCGGGAAGAGTAGCTCAGGTTAAACCTTTCTTCTTCCGCCTCGACGGCTTGGCGACCGTCACGCCCATAGGTACGGGCAGATATTTCTCCCGTAGCTCGTATGTAGGGGGCGGGAGTTTAGCCGCCTCGAGACTCTCGGCCGTTCGGAAGATTGTGTATTCGTGCAGCTCGCTCGAGATCCGAGCGACCGTCTCCTTGAGCGCTTGTGTCTCGTCCGGCACCACTTGTTTCCGGAAGTGGGTGCTCCAAGCGCGGTCGACCGGGAGAATCCAAGGATCATATTTGATGGAAAAGATCCTATTCTTCCATCCCTTGTTGTTCCCGGGCAGGCCTTTGATGGCGCACATGTCCGCTCGAGACTGCAGCATTAGGAACCCGCCTCCATAGCTGCCCGGGAGAACTTTGACTTGGTAGATGAAGTTGAACAGCTCCATCGTGCAAGCGGCCTCGTGCCGAGCGCATATCTGGGGAAAGCAGGCGATGATCCGGTGCGAGTTGGGGCAGATCTGAGCCGGGACGACCCGGTAGTATGCCAAGAAGGCCGTCAGGATGGGCGGGAAAGGAATGGCGATCGGGGCCATCAGGGAGTCGTAATGCATCCCGATCCACTTGCCCCGGTGCCGATCGATCACATTCCCTAGCTTTCGGCTCGTGTCAAATTCCACCCGACCCCTGAGCATTTCAGCAATCCTAGCCGCTTCGCCTTTGGTCAGCCAGCTCATTTGCTGTTCGACATTCTCGTTGTTCAAGAATTCGAACTCTACTGGTGCGACCGGCTCGGCCGTGTTTTCCTCGGCTTGCTCAGGGGTGTTTTCCCGGTCGCTACCCCGAGCAACGGCTTTCGGGTGGTCCCTAACCACCCGGGTTGGCGTTTCCCTAACGCCTTCGGTCGGTGAACCCCGTCTGCCTGACGAGGTTCCTTCTTCTTCCTCTTCTCCGGAGCTCCCTGATCCGCTTGAGCTGGAACTCGATGACCCGGAGGAGCTTGACGCGTCGTTTTGTTCGGAAGCCCGCTCGGGGGTTGGCGCCGGTCGGTGAATGGCCTCGTGAGAGTAGGACATGATGTCCACTTCCTCGTCGCTGAAGTACTCGACCTCCTCGTCGTAGTCCGCGATCGAGGCGTTTTGGCTGTCAGAGTCCGTCATTTCGATCTACCTAAAGGTCGGTCGGGGTTAGTAAAGGACTTGAGACGTCCGGGACAGTTAGTTGACCTAACGATTTTACTTATAAATGAAAACGTAAAGTAAAAGAAGGGTTGAGAACTTACCGAATGGAAGAACTTTGCGAATGAAAGCTTGAAGTCTTTTAGCTCGACTGCCTCGCTAAGGTGCTCTGCTCGGGGCTCTCTGAGGGTACCGACTGAAGCAAAAGAGTGAGGAAAGTTCAAATGGAGGCCTCAAGGGCCTATTTATAGGAAAGCATTTTAGGCGGGAAAATCATCCACTTGCGTGACACGACCAGCGCTGATTCCGAGGCGACGGTTGCAGTCGCAGAGGCCGGCAGTGGCCGACACGTGGCGGAGAAGGGAATGACAGCTGGCCCGGTCGGTTTAGCGGCCGACGGTTGGGCTTCTTCATCCCGGCCCATTTTTTCCCGGACGATAAAAAAGGCCCGGGCTGGGGGGGCTCTTGGTAGGGATATCCCGACCGACATAGCTTCACCACGACCGAGAAGCCTTTGTCTTTTTCTCTTTGTCTTTGCAGGTAACAGGTCGGGCTCCTTGAGAAGAACCCGGTCGGGGCCGACCGGGAGTTGCCCGAGCGACGGTGTCGACCGCCGAGCGGTAGCCCTTTGGCGAGAGAGCTGACGAAAGACACGTGGCGATTCTCTACGACGACAGACAGGGCACCCGGGAGGACGACACGTGGTGGCTACGTGGAGGACATGCCGAACGGCTGGAATCCTGTCCCCGGCATAGTGGCTATAAATACCCACAGTAGCTACAGTGTAGGGAACTTTTGGACGATCGATAGGTTGTTGTTAGAGAATCCCGACCGCAGTCAGTCGGTACTCAGAGCAACCAAGTAGATTGTACTTAGGGCCTTTACCGTGATCAATAAAGACATTTACTTGCTTTAATTGGTCTCGAGTTACTTCATATTGCTTACATATAATTAGCAGTATCAAATGCAAATCCATTTCCTCTTCCTTCATTCAGTTCCATTTTGCATTCATGTTTTTTATTATTATTATTATTATTATTATTATTATTATTATTATTTATAACAATACATATATTATATATAAATATTATAATAATTAATAACATCAACTCCTCAAGTCCTCAGACCTCAAATCTAAATCGTAAGTCCCAAATCAGTCTATTGTCTACGCTCACGCAGTCCGCCACTCCACCCTCCACTCAACTCTCTGCCCCTCCATTGCAAAGATAAAAACCAAGGTATGTCTACTTCTTCATCCTTCTTCCATTTATTAAACCTAATTTAATGTTTACATGCTCTCTTCTACGATTCTATGAAACGTGAAATCCCTAATATGTAGTAATACACACACAGATTCTTCTTCACTTTTATTTTGCTAGCTTTGGTGCTGCTGTTTGTATTTTTAGTTATGGACTTAGGGTTTATTGCTATTATATTTTTATTGTGTCTCTAGTAAACTGGAATATTTTGTGTTTTAATAATTATTGTTTTTCAAATATTAACTATGCAGATGGATGACTCTTCATCTTGTAATCAACAAAACACTTCAAGAGTTCAAGTGGCACTCCAAGTGAGCCAACTGAACAATCGGCCAGGCAAAAAAAGAAACGTTCAAATAGTGGGTTTCCACCAAAACCGAACCGAATTAAATTCAAACTGAAACCGAACCATAATGTTAAACCGAATGATTTTTTTTTAAACCGAAACTGGAGAAAAAAAAAACACCAAACCGAAGCCCGAAACACCCACCCCTAATGCTAACACAAAATTTAAATAAAAATATTTTTACTTACTTAGTTTCATTGTTGACCTTTAGACCCATTCAATCCACAAAAACCTAGTTATCAACACCAATCCAACATAAGAGATTCTTGATTTTGGTCAAATTCTCGAGAGCTCGAGAAGGATCGAGAAGGATCATGGTGAACACAAGTAGGCTCAAGGCAAAAATAAACTTTCTTCTTCACATCTTTGTTTGATCATCCGCCTTAGCTTACATGACAAATTGTGACATCTTCTATAAAGCTGCAAATTTTGATCTCTTTAAAATCCCTTATTACAAATTTCACAAACAAATATATTTGAAGCTAAGAGTATTGGGTAATAAAGTAATCACCTTTGAAGGAAACTAGTATTAAAAACTATGCAAATCCAGCATAACCAGCAGAGAACTTGGTACAAGAATTATCAAGTTAAACTGAGAAGGTTAATGCAATAAGGAACAACTCCAAAATCAAATTGTTCAAACAGTTGATTTGGTAACCACAAGGTTACAAGTTCAACTTTCATAGGGAGTGACCAACCGTTATATTGTGCACCAGGGCGCACAATGCATTGTGCGCTCCGCTCTGCACAAAACGACGTTGTTTTGTTAAGTTGTGTGGAGAGTTGACACGACAGAGTGTGTGTATTCTGTTATATAATTATATACATTCTATTATACAATTATGTATATTCGAAACAGATGATTTTTTTTTTTTAAGTTAAGAGTTTATGTGTATTATGTTAGATTATGTGTATTATTTTTTCAAAAAAGAGTATGTGTATTCTATTATACAATTATGTACATTCGAAACATGAGATTTTTTATTTTCTTTTAAGAAGTTAATAGTAGACACAGGAAGCAGAATTTTCAAAATAAAAATAAACAGGTACAAAACGCCGTCGTTTTGAGCCAGAACGCACAATACATTGTGCGTCCTGGTACACGATATAATTTGCCGGGAGTGGCTTATATGATCTTTTTGGTTTAAACCGATCAACTATAACAACCTGCTGATGACTAGGGTCACAACTCACAAGGCAAGAGTTACCAGTGCACACCCTTAGGGTAGAGGTTCAAGACCGAAAGGTGAATGATTGCGATGTGTAATAGAGAAGTAGCCCCCCAGTTTTATACAAGTTTTTTGTATTAATACATATAACACAAACAATGCCGATTGTACAGAGGTAAAGGAGAGTGGTGGAGCCAAATTTTACTTCACAGCAGAGAACAACACATGGCGATTCCCTGAATCCCGGTACGTCCACATATGCTTACCAGGCTACCGGCTTCTGTAACTTGTCGTTCTCAAAGATTTCAGCACAGGTTTCTGTGATCATATCAGAGCTTTTTTGGGCATAGTGGCAATCTCCCCACTTTAGGATACAGCATATGTTAATTAGGAACTGCATGGACCACCAGTACTCTCATGAAGGGACCAGAGTAATTAGGAACTGCATCGACCACCAGAACTCTCAAGAAGGGACCATATTAGAGTAAATATATTCTCCTTGAGTTTGGCTGGAAGTGAAGGATGGTTTATAAGCTTCCTGCCAACCAGAACTCAAAAGGTTAGATCGTTTTCGAATGGTATATTACTTGCCTAAACCCTTAGAGGGATCGTTGTCAGAATCTTTGTTAGCATCATGATCTGAAATCATTTTCTGGATCATTGCGCTCGTCTCTGCTTCCGACATTCGGTTGTCTTTCGTCTGGGATTGAGCATATGCAGCAAAGAATTCTGGGTTCTCTTTCTCTAACTCGTTCCACACTGCAGGAATATAATCAACTGTTGATTCAGATCATCATTATTAGATATCAGCTGTGTTGTATTAACACTGTTACTGTTACTTTTGCATAAGAACCTGCTTCCTAATGCTTATTTTATTTGCCTGTAACATGAAGTGACTAGGAAGTTTACTAAAACTCACATCTGAGACCAGGAAACCAACCAAATTTTCTCTTAGTTAACTACCTTAGTTTTCTGAATAGCCCCGTGACCCAGTCATACAGACACAAGTGGAGTTCATTGTTAAAAACACATGTTTTACAGGATTATGCCCTTTGAGGGTTTTTTCTGCATGCATGCATATGATATCAACGGTTTAGAACAAAAGATGATTGGAAAAGGTATGCACAACACTAACCAGTTGCAGTTATGACTGGTTCGATGTTCGCATGCTTAGAGAGAGCTTCCATGCACTCTTCTTTAGTCATGTGGAAGATCAGGCACTTCTCTATCAGGTGCTGCACCTGGATGAGATAACGAACAAAACAAGTAAGAAACTCTCAGGAAATATCACTCAAAATAATGACTAAAGAGTCTTGAGCACATGTTTTTACAGTTAGAAACAATCAAAAAATCAAGGTAGCATAACCATGAAGAAAAGTTGATCAACATTGAGTAATGGTCAGAAATTGAAGCTACTCATCCGTTTCAATTACCATATGTATATATGAAGCAGATGAATCCCCCATATTAACTAGAGATGACAGATTGTCACAAATATTAGTTGAAGAAACAATACAATATGGGAGACAAGTTCAGAAAGAGTATTGGGTAGTAAGAGATCATGAATTGAGAAAGGAGTAGCTATATACTGTAGAAAAAGGAGAATTAATGGTGAAGTGGGGTAAGGACTCCCACGTGGGAGATTGCTGATAATTGGTGGAGAGGGGATTAGAGGAGATTTGTAAATGACTATTTCTTTGTCTTATTGCATTGTCCATAGGCAGCCACCTCCACGTGATGAATGGGTCCCCCCTATGTAGAAATAGTATAAAATGAACAACCCCAAATTTCCCAGATGGCATACCCCTATTGAAGCAAATTATCTACTCAGCAACCATCTACCAATCGCCTGGAAACATGTGGCCAATTGATCAAATAGCACACTTGTATCTCACTTAATTTCCTTAAAATTTGCTTCTATACAAGGACAGGCACAATGTTGTTTGGAAGTATATGATGAGCAATCAGCATAAGAGTAACCACTGACCCACAACAATTGCAAGGTAGTGCAAATTCTTTAATATGCTCATCATGAACTATGACAAAGCATCTATCTCTCTCCCCTTCACTAGAAAAGCCAGGCCAAGTGGAGATACTAATGCAGTTTCAGGATTTTACTGCCAATACTTTGGCTTGCATCTCCCTGTTTCAATCAAGTGAGCTAGCAGCGCAAGTCCTTGGATAATCTTTTGGACCATTACTTGGGTGTTTGATAACTAAACATACATCTCAAATCTCAATGATCACAACCATATGATCAGCTTCTACTTTGACTGGAAACCCTAAGCTCAAGCCTACCTTTCGCCTGCTTTTAATCCCTGCATATGAAAGAAGAATGACATCATTAACAGGTGACATTTGTAATATGGAGGTTTTTTGGGGTACAATTGATCTAACCAACCTTTAATAGAAAATGATGTGTGATCACAGCTGTGAAAATTAGTTTTGATTTTTTCAAGTTACAGTTACTAATATATGCATATGAATCATATTATGATCAGTCAGTTGTTTTTTTAATTGTCCCTTTTAGTGTTACTGACACAGTCCCTCGTATAAATGATTATAAGCAAACAGACAGTACTGGCACATTATACCAACTAGCATGCAACTAGACATCCAAACAAAAATAAAACGTTTCTCGCTGAAGATATTTCATCAAAATGTTTATCCTTATCTAGCCCACATAATTGAGGCCATGGAAAGTTATAGAAGGGGTTCTGCTGGATGATTTCTCTTATCGTTAATAACACACACATCCAGTCATCCAGAAGAACCTATAAGAGGATATGGGTAATATGCTATGTGTGGTTCTTGCGAGGTTTGTACCTGTTCCTGAAATCAACCTACCGGTTTAAACCAGAAGTCTTCCAAAGAGATCCAAAAGCTATCAGCATAGGAGTAAGAAGCATGAGCTACTTATCAGGAAAAAAAAAAAAAGGAAAATAAATAAATAAAAGGTAGCATGTGAACCTCACGCAAAGCATAGGACACATTACACACAGGCACATGACAATGACCCAATATTCCAACTTCCTTGCCAGGTCAACAACTATCAATGGTCGTGGTTGAATTAGAGTTGTAATCCAACTACACACGTACCAAAAGGTGATTGGTTAATCTTATGGACGTGAAACTTCAGTTTCTTACTCTATACATTACTTTCAACATCGATTGTGAGATAGAAAATGACACAAGCATGAGTTCAATTGATGGCAAGTGCAAACATATATTTTCCATATTCGTCTGATTCCAACATCAAAAAAATAGAATGGTGACTAGCATGCCCCTTAGAGAACAACATTATCACAGCAAATGGTTTTCTATAAATTTCTATAAAGGAAGGAGCATGTATAATATATGATATCCATTCATTAGCCATTACCCCACAGGATCAATTTCTAATGCACTAATGACACCTAATCCTTGATTCTGGAATTTATGGGAGGCTAAAATTGACAAAAATTACAAGTAATTACAATTACCAAGCTGGACCCAGTTCTGCCTATAATTGGAAATGAAGAAAGCGATGCTTCAACACGAACAAGAGTGACGCAATTAGATGGAAAAACACAATTTGATTCCCCAGGCCAATTATTTCAAGATCAAGTGGCTCCAAAAATCCTCAATCTTTGTTTAAGTTCACACAAAATATGAAATTTTAACCAAATATTCTTATAATTTCTCTGATTATAAATGCGTTTGAAACCCCCAAATTGACAGCTAACATTCGAAGACCTAGCATGAAGAATGAACTCCCTACCACACAAAGTTACGGTAGGTTTATTGATGAATTATTGAAGATTTCACACAAAAAGAGAACAGAGATATGTCCATTCATAGACAGTGTATATCAGCAACAATCATAGCGTTAAGAAATATGAACTGCGGAACAGAACGATTCGACGAGAAAGCGACAAATTGAATGCACTAATGGTCCTAATGGAGTTAAAAGGCTGTAGAAATTCTTTACCGTCGCCGGGAATTCCATTTTGCTTCCGTTCTGGAGCAGATTTTGACCGTAATCTGCAAACCACACAGGGTTTTACACTGAGTCCAAAGTAGGGGTGTAAATGAGCCGAGCCGCTCGCGAATCGCTCGTGAGCGGTTCGGTCAACGCTCGGCTCGAACTCGGTCAAAATCGAGTTTTGTTCGAGCTCGAGCAGCTCGTGGATTAAACGAGCACGAGCCGAGCTTAGGTATTGTAGGCTTGCGGCTCGACGAGCCGCTCGCGAGCTTTATAATATATTATATAATATATAATATATAATATAATTATATTATATTTAGTATATGAAAATAATAATTAGGGAGGGAAATTAAAATACTTTAATAATTATGTATGGATAAAAGTCATAAAAAAAATACTTTAAATTTTAAATCAAACAGGTCAAATTTGAGATCAAAACTAAGCTCAAATTCAAGCCTAAACTCGATCTCAAATTCGAGCCTAAACTCGAGCTCGAGTTCAGGCTCGAATTCGAGCTCGAGCTCGAGCAGCTCGACAATTGCCGAGCTCGAGTTCGAGCATCAGTTCACGAGCTCGAGCTCGAGCAGTGCTATCATTAACGAGCACGAGCATGAGCATACCCAGGCTCGGACTCGGCTCGGCTCGTTTACACCCCTAGTCCAAAGACGATTAATAGACATTTTCGATCATAACATTATTAACATCACATGAAAAAAAAAAATACTAAATAATTTCACATTTAACCATATTATATTCATGAAAATTACAATTTAATTCCTTCGTACCATTTTCATTGCATTTTCGCAATTTTTGATCATTAAAAGGTAGTAAATGTTATATTGTCAAGTCATTCTTATTAAGTTCAAAAGCTTTCAAAAAGATTAAGGGGTGTTTGGTAAATAATTGTTTATTTGGTTAGTGAGTTTGACTGGTTGATAGTATTAATTGATTGTAGAAAAGTGATTGGTAAATTAATTGTTATCTGATAGCTGATTGTATTCAAAATGACTTTCTTAAAAAGTTGATCGAAAAATGTACTTTGAACTGTTTGTTAAATTTTAGCATTTTAGAATAATAAATTGTTGCAAAAGTTAATTAATGAAACGAACATATTAATTGTTTAACTAAGTTAAATAGTTAAATACTGATCAAATAAATTCAAATTGACTAATAAACTAATTATGTTATTAAAGAAGACCTAAATATTTAAGTGCAACACATATCAGCTAAATCTTTTCTAGTTGTTTAAGTCATGAAATGGGCACTTTCCTTTTGGACCATATCAACTTGGCAACTTGCTAGGTTGTGGATATTTTACAAAGATATTTCATGTCCTATATATAAGAGTGAATAAATAACTAATGTAAGACATGAAGGGGATTAGGGGACTCGAGCTCTTTAAATTGGCGTTGTTAGAATGGTCACTTAAAGGATACAAGTGTAGATAACTTTATTTTGAGCATACATACCAAAAAAAAAAAACAAAACAAAACAAAAAAGTTACCAAAAAAATTGAAAATGAAAAATCTATTAAAAGATGATAACATCAAAGCTAAGGATAAAATGTGATTAAATATTAGTTTAGCACTTAAAATTGAAATTAACTATACCAACTTACCTTTATTTACCTTTTTCTTTTGGTTTATTTTAGAGTTAATTTCATTTCTAATCCTATATTTATTAGGAACAGTTCACTTTTAGTTATTTTTTTAATTAAAACAATCACATTTGGTCCTAGTATTAGTGTGACATAATCATTTTTTATCCTCTGTCAACAAAATCGTTAAAATGTCGTTAAATACAAAGGTATTTCGATCATTTTTTATACAAAGTGAGTTGACTATGCTATATTTTTTTGAAAAAAAATTGTAATTGAAGACTGAAATGCATTTGTATTTAACGGGATTAAAATTATTTTATTGATAGAGAACAAAAAATGATCATGACACAATAATACTATGACCAAATGTGGATGTTTTAATAAAAAATGACTAAAAATTGACTATCACCTATAAATCTATGACCAAAAATGAAATTAACTCATTATTTGATATTTCCATAGTTATAGTTTACAATTTTATTTTTATATTAGTTAATTTAGTATTTCATAAAAATATATTGTATTTAATTAGAGGTCATAAGAGAAGTGTTATGAAATACATAAATTGAATTTATAAACTGAATGAAATATTAAATTTAAGAAAAATTATATAACACCAATAACACATTGTGTCTATTATTATAAATAAATAGAGAGGACCTATTGAAAAAAAAAAAAAATCTCAAACCTTTAAATCTTGTAACTCAAAAAATAATGCAGTTATCTTGATTTATGTCTTAATCGGTGATTATAATATATTTATACTTAAGTCAAAGTAAGGACTAGTTTCGATCGGCATTAGCTAGCTAGAGTACGTGTTATGTTTGCATTATCCGTTTGATTGATTTGCCGTTGGAGATGCAAGCTAAGGCGGTATTTCAAGGAGAGGAGTGGGCCGGATTAATGGAGATATTGTGCATGACTGCAAGAGTTGGATTATCATATTGCGAGTTCATGGAGCCTCCAACGGAGGTGATGTTACAACTTGAGATGGATAAAGTGAAGGTGTCAATAGAGCATTGATTGTTTTTAATGAAAACCCGCCTTGACTTTTCAAAATCACTATATCCAATCCCGCTGTACAGAGCTCACTATTGAGTGTAGTCCAAATCTAGAATTATAATTTTGTTGTAATGTTGTTTGTGCCCGTTGGCATTTAGCTCCTAACCGGTGGGTTGCAGCATTTGTATCAATGACATAAAAGATAAAAGTAAAATATAGAACAAGAGATAGGGGTGGAAGAGGAGTAGGGATGTCAACGGGGCCTGGTGGGGGCGGGAGACATACCCCCCATCCCCGTCCCCGACTTTCTTCCCATTCCCCGTCCCCATCCCCATCCCCGCCGGGGAATGAAAAATTCCCCCTATCCCCATCCCCACGGGGATTATTCGGGGACGGGGAATCCCCACCCCCGTTAATAAGTTATAAAAAAAATTAAAATTAAACATTAAAAAACATTTAAATAAATAACGCATATATATATTCATCCCCAACTCAAAGTTGTATTCAATATTTTACAATTAAACATTTTATTTAAATATGCATGACATACAATGACAAGAATACTTCTACAATTATATATATTGTATACAA